CCCCGCCGACGCAGCCGACGCCGCCAAGCTCGGCTTCGATGGTGTGCCCCGCCTGAACAGCTTCTTCACCCAGATGAGCAACTGGGCGCGCGACTTCGCCACCGAGTACTTCGCCGATGGTCTCCCCCACGCTGCCTCCCAGTGCTCCGGGGTCACCTCCTTCATCAACATCGCCGACTGCCAGTCGGACTTCGGCAACCTGCTTGATGACTGCCACACCGATGCCGCCAAGGCTTCCTGCTCCGTGTCCGCGGTCCTGGCCGAGGGCCGGGAGATCCCCTTCTTCCCGGAGTACTTCCATGCCAGCCGCCTTGGTCCCTTCGACGACCACCTGTCCTTCAAGTCGGACGCCGCCTACCCCACGGCCAGCCGCGACACCTACACCCAGCTCACCACCTACGCCCAGCTGTTCGATTCGAACCTCTCGGCGGACCACCAGCGCCTCCAGGCCTACCTCGTGTCCAACTATGTGATTCCCCACCTCATTGGCAACGACGGTATCATTGCCACGCGCCGCGTGTCCGACTGGCTGTACGGCTTCAGCGGCCAGCTGCAGCGCAAGGAGTTCATCGCCCCGCCGACCGGCTCCAGCTCCACCTCGGCCTCGGCCCCGGCTTCGACCTCCGGCTCCACCTCGACCTCGGCTTCCGCTTCGACTTCCGCTTCGGCTTCGGCTTCCACTTCGACCTCGACCTCGACCTCGACCAGCGGCAGCTCCCCCTCCCCGGTCGAGGGCGCTCCTCGGTTCCCGGGTCTGCTCTTCCAGGGCCTCCTCACCCCCCGTGTGACCATGTACACCGGTGCCTTCAAGCGCCGCGATGAGGCCTACAAGGTGAAGGACATCGCCGGTGTCAGTGCCCCGGGTGCCGACCTGCCCTACCTCCCGGGCCAGGGCATCGCCGCGGACAAGGTCTTCCTGATGGATCACCTGCCCTTCGACACGGCGGCCACCGGCGAGTCGCAGGTTGTCTTCAACCCCTTCCTCAACCACCCGGTTGATGTCTCCTTCACCGATGCCGAGTTCAAGATCGAGACCATGGAGGGTGTTGTCGGCGAGGTCAGCCTCTTCGAGCACTTCAAGAACGAGCCGGTGCCCGTGCCGCACACCGTCGGCAGCGCCGTTCCCTTCGACTATACCCTCTGCACGTCGGACATCCCGTCTGGCCAGTCGGTTGTCGGCTCGCCGGACATCTGCCCGCTGGAGGACCTGCCTGCTTGGGTCCACCCTGCCTCGCTGGTTGTGCACCCGTCCTCCGGTCGGACCATGCACAGCAACTTCTGCCTGGTCCAGTCGGTGTCCATCCCGAACGCCGACCTGCCCTTCTCCAAGTTCAGCGTCCCGGCCGGCGGCTCGGGCCTCATCTTCGGCATGGCCCGGCTGAGCTTCACCCAGCAGATGTCCTCCCAGTATGCCCTGGACTTCATGGATGCCTATGATACCATCAACAAGTCCATGCTTTCGGCCCTGATTGCCCTGTGCGTGGTGGGCTTCCTGGCCCTGCTGGTTGGTGTGATGTTCACCATCTTCGCTGTTGTGCGCCACGTGCGTAAGCGCCAGCGCCAGGCCAACTCCGACCTGGTGGCCGACCCGTTCGGTGAGGGCCGCGGTTAATGCGGGTCTCTCCCTCCTCTCCCCCCCCCTCGTCTCCCTCCTCCCCCCCCCTTCTTTCTCGTCTCTCCTCTCCGCGGCGCGAGTGCGCGCGTCCGCCGCCGTGTCGTGTGCCTGAGGCCAGTTTCCGATGACGCTGGGTGTCGTCGGGAGCGTGTGCCACACACCGGCCAGCTGAGGAGAGGTGGCACCCGGCCCTCTACCACCCGGTCCTTCTCTCCCCCCTGCGCCTCAACTCCTCCTCCTCTCTCTGTGTGTTCACATTTTTGTGCTGCCCCAGAGAGCGGGGGAGGGGGCGATGGCGGCGGGTGGACCACCGGGCAGCGGGGCGTGTGCGTGTGTGCTCGCTTGTGCGGCTCCTTCTTCTCTTCTTCCCCCCTGTCACTTCTTCCTCGCTCACCGATCTTGCGGTGAGCAGAGGGGGGGGGGGGCAGGCGAGAGAGAGACGCGCAGGGAAGTTGCCCATGCTTTTTCCCTCGTGTATATGCCCGCGCACACGGTTGCCTTGCCTCTCTTCTTTTCCCTCTTCCCTTTCCCTCGCGCACCCCAAGATACACTTCTCTCCCTTTGCATTCTTCTCTCTCCCTCTCTCTCTCTCTCTCTGTGTCTGCGTTTTTATTTCCCTCTAGGCTCTTTTGGACACCTCCTCTCATCGTGTGTGTGTGTGTGTGTGTGTGTGGGGAGGGGGCGGGGGGATGTATTCCTCGGTTTCTCCGTGTGTTTCTTGGCGCATCTCCGCTCGGAACGGAGGGTGCTTGGCGGCTCTGCCTTTTTTCCTGCATTCAGCTTGAGATGCATCTGCGTATGCATGTGCGTTGGACACAGAACATAGGGTCCCGGGCGTTTCTTTCCGGCTGTGCGTGCGCGTCGTGCACCCACATCACACACCCACACCCACACACACACACACGCACACATATTGGGAGTTGGTGGGGCATGTCCCCCCGCCCCCCACCGCCTCCCTCTCCTCCGGAGAAATGTTCCACCGGGGCCACGGTGCAGCGCGCACGCGCATGCCACACCCGATGCGGTGTACAGGTCAAAGGGGATCGAGGGCCGGAAGGCGCGACACCCGCACGGCATGGCGACGGGAAGGCCCCTTCTCTCAGCCCATGTCCGTCCACCGGAGCCAGGGACGCATGCGGCTCACCTGTTTCCCCCCCCCCCCCCCCCCCTCTGTCTCTCTTTCACACACACGCACACCACCCTGGTCCACTCTGCTGAGGGGGCACACCACACGCGTGCACACACTCGCGGGTCTATTTTGCTTACTTCGAGGCCTCCTCAAGGGCGGCGGGGTTGGCGGCGACAGCCTCCAGGACCTGGCGCTCCTCGGCGGACACGCTGCCAAGCAGCGATTCCACAAGGCCGCGGTTGTTGGTGGCCAGCTGGCCGAAGGCCGTGCTGAAGAAGGCATACGGGTTGACCGGGTCAATCGGGGTCTTGACATCGAACTCCTCCTCCAGGCTGGGCAGGTAGGTGAAGACATCGTCGACAGTGCGGTGGGAGATGGTGTAGTCCTCGTCATCGTCATCATCGCCGTCACCACCGGCCGGCAGGCCGTCATGCATGGCGGACCCGGCGTGCGCGGCACGCGCAGCCAGCTCGCGAGTGTACGCATGGTCCTCGGCCGTGTAGCCGGGGTGGTCCTGGTCCTCGTCGATCTCGCCCTCACCATCGAACTCCTCATCATCATCGAAGTCCATGTCGAGCTCGCCCTCGTCCAGCTCCTCGGCAATGTACTGCTCGAACTCCTTGCGCATCTCCACGGCAACCGGCATGGTCTTCAGGTTCCAGGCCAGAGCCGACGCCAGGGCAGTCAGGGTGGCAGGCTCGATGACGGCCAGGGCCTCAGCCGGCAGGCCGAGGATATGGCAGATGGCCATGATGCAGAGCTTCTTGTCGTGGACACTGTTGGTGGTGGTGGTGCGGGTGTGTGTGTGTGTGTGCGTGCGCGCGAGCAGGGGACAAAGGAGGGCGGACGACCGGGAAAGATGTGAGCATGAGCAGGAGGGAGCAAAAGAGGCAACCAGCCGCCAGGGGGGAAAAGGCAACAAACAAACACCGCCGCCCAAATGGTCCCCCCCCCCGCCGGCCGCGAAAAAAACAAAAAACAAAAAAAACAAAAAAAAACACGTACCGGTGGAAGTGCTTGATGTTCTGCAGAAGCACCGCCAGGAAGGGCGCCAGGTGGCCATTCGTGTGCAGGGCAGCCATGGTACCGGCCGGGCAGACCACCACCGACGACAGGACCACCAGCAGGCTGGACACCGCCAGCGAGGGGGACTTGGCACCCTGCAAGGTGCTGAGAGCCAGCTGCATGGCCGGAGCCAGGAACTGCTCCTCATAAGCCGAGCCCAGGTGCGGGACCAGGTTCTGGATGACAGTCTCCAGCAGGCGGCAGGCATTGATGCGGTCCTCGGCACAGGCGCGCTTGCTCTGGGGGGTGTCCCCGAGGACGGTGTGGATCATGCTGAGCACCGTCATGAGGCGGCTCCGGTCGGACAGGAAGTCCGCCGGGTTGGTGGAAATGAAGTTGTCCAGCGGGGCAACCATCTCGCTGAAGAAGTCGAAGCCCTGGCCATTGAAGGCAGCGGCCATGGCCGGCAGGTAGGCCCAGGAAAGCTCCGACACGCGGCCCTCGGAGAAGTAGGTGAAGGCCGAAATGATGTTCAGGGCATCGGTCAGGAAGTCCACATTGACCGTCTGGATGATGTCCAGCAGCAGCGGCTGCAGGGTCACCTCGCACTGGTGCAGGGCCTCCGGGTTCTCGCTCATGGAGGTGACCAGACGCTCGATGGTCTGGATGGTGCTCAGCACGGCGATGGACTTGGTCTCGTGGGCCTCGAAGTCCGCCTCATTGTCCTCATCGAACACGGTCTCCGACAGCTCGCGGTTGATGGTCTGGAACTGGAAGATTAGCTGCTGGCAGAGCTGCACCGCGAAGGGGGCAATCTCCTCGGGGAAGGTCTCCACCAGGGTCTGGATGACGCCGGAAATCTCGAACAGCTCGGTCTCCTGCGACAGGGCCAGCAGCTCCTGGATGATGGGCTGCACATGGGGGCGGATTTGGTTTTGAACATGGTCCGACATGATCAGGTGCGACAGGCACAGGGCGGCCTGGACCTTGAGCGGGAGCTCCGACTGGCGCAGGGCATTGACCGCGATGGTGAGCGAGGCGGCCGAAAGCTCGGCATTGTTCATGATCACCCGGACAAAGGCCTGCAGGACATTGAGCATGCGCGCCCGCAGGAAGGGGGCCGGGCTATCGGCCTCCGGCAGGACATGCGTGGCCAGCAGGTGCTCGATCTGCCCGGCGAAGGACTCCTCCCGGAGGAGGACATCCGCCAGGGTGGAGATCACCGACAGGGCGCCATCCTTGTGGCGGTAGTTCCGCTCGGCCGGCGAGGCGGCCAGGTAGGTGTTCAGGCGCTCGATGCAGAAGAGCAGCATCGGCATGAGGGTGCTCTTGCGCCGGGCCCCGGCCAGGTTGATGCAGCTGATGGCCGCGGTCGAGGGGTTGGTGTACTCCAGCTCGAAGTTGAACTTCCGGCGGAGGAACTCATGGGGATCGTCCTCCCAGAGCTCCTGGTCGTCGTCCGAGAAGCAGACCAGCTTGAAGAGCACATGCGAGAAGACCTGGTCGAAGTGCGGGCGCACGATCTTCCAGGCGGAGTTGAGGCGGATGCTGGAGCATTGTTGTTGTTGTTGTTGTCGGTGGTGGTGTTGGGTTTTCCCCCCCCCCCCCCCCCCC